TTTTTTTTTTTTTTTTTCTTCGTTGTCTTTTGCTTACAAATTGCATATTTTTCAATTATTAATTAAATTGATAACAACAACAAATAAAAAAAAAAAGGAATAAAAGAGAGAAAAGGAAAAACAAATTTGTTTATGTTTTATAAAAAACAAAACTTCTGAATCCTTCCTGTTCCCATTCTTTTTTGTTATCATTATACTTTTTATATTTTTTTTTGCTGATTCATTGGTTAAATGTTAGTTCTTTCTTTCCAAATTTTTTTTTTTTATCAGTAATTTCTTTTTTGCTTTTTCTTTTCTTCATTTTCTCAAACATTGTTGTTGTTGTTGTTTGTTGTTTGTTGTTGTTGCAATTGTCGCCGTCGTTGTCAGGTCTACTGTTGTTTATCAAAAACAAAAAGAGGGAAAAGTTTCTAACTATATACTATCTTTCTTTCCTGCCTAATTGCAGTCTATTATTTTGAGGGAGAAAAAAAGTGGAAGAAAAAAAAAAACTTATACTATACTTATAAAATTGTAGAAAGAAAAAAAAAAATTTTTTTTTTGAAAATATTATTTGGTTTGTGAACAACAGTTTTTATTGAATGCCTAAATGACTGTATCAGTGGATATGATTTGTATAGCTATGAATGAGTTTATTGATAGATTTATTGCTTTCAACAATTTATACACTTATATAATCTGACTGTATTATCATTAGCAGCGACATCAGTTTCAACAGTATTGTCATAGTTGTCGCCAGAAACAAAAAAAAAAAAATTTTTTTCATTTTTTTACTACTATATTTGTTCTTTATGTTTCGTATATGTTTTTAAATCGTTTTTTTTTTTTTTTTATTCTTTTGTTGTTGTTGTTTTCTTATGCGGAATGCTCAGAAGTCTTTTCTTTGATGCAAAAGATTGCTTATGAGATCCTATGTTTAGTCGTTTTGAACAGAAAAAATTCTTCAGCACTTTTCTTTAAGCCTTTATAAGATCTAATCTTGATTATATTTTTTTTCTGTTGTTTATAACCCAAAGAGTCTTTATTGAATACAAAGGCAATTGGCAAAAAAAAAAAGCGTAATAATTGAAAAACTGTAATATTTTTTTGTCTGATTTGGTTGAACCGCCTGAACAAAACTGTAATTTTTATTAAGTTATCGTTAGATTCATTTGCCAAAACGTTAGCGCAACATAAAACTTGTTTTACT